GGCCTCCCAAAGTGCTGGGATTACAGGCTTGAGCCACCGTGCCCGGCCATAATTTTTGTATTTCTTATAGAGATGGGGTTTCACCATGTTGCCCAGGCTGGTCTGAATCTCCTGGGCTCAAGCAATCCTCCCGCCTTGGGCTCCCGAAGTGCTGAGATTTACAGGCGTGAGCCACCGTGCCCGGCCCTAGATGGACCTTTTAATCTGATATTCTGCTGGGAAAATACGTGGTATATATTTAGCCAATTCACAATTTTTAGACATTTAGAATCTTCCAGATTTCACCTTGCACACACACTGTGGCAGAACATGCCTGAAGTCCTGCTCAATTCCACAAACTGGGATTCCGGCCTTCTGCTTGGCCCCCGCCCCAGAGCTCATTTACCATGTGCAGAATGAGGATCCAGGCCGAGTACAGGACATCGGATGTGACCACCTGCAGGAGTGGGAAAGCCCTGTGAACAGAGGCCTCAGGCAGAGGCCCTGGAGGATGGCAGCCTCCAATCCAGAGAGAGACCCCAGCACAAATTTACTCAGGTACCCAAGGGACAAAAGGCAAGGTCAAACCAATGGCCACAGGCAGGCAAGGGGTAGCCCTGGTCCCTCCTGGATAAGGCAGCCCAGGGCCCTCCACCTGGGCCACCTTCTTGCTGCCTGGTTTGTTGCTGCTGTTGTTGGCTGTTTTGCGACAGGGTCTCACTCTGTCACCCAGTCTGGAGTGCAGTGGTATGATCCCAGCTCACTGTAGCCTCGGTCTCTTAGGCTAAAGTGAGCCTCCCACCTCAGCCTCTTAACTAGCTGGGACTACAGGTGTGTACTGCCACGCCTGGCTACCTCTTAATTTTTTTTTTTTTTTTTTTTTTGAGACAGATTCTCGCTCTGTCAACAGGCTGGAGTGCAGTGGCATGATCTCGGCTCTCTGCAACCTCTGCCTCCCGGGTTCAAGCAATTCTCCTGCCTCAGCCTCCCGAGTAGCTGGGATTACAGGCGTGAGCAGCCAGGCCCGGCTAATTTTTTTATTTTTATTAGAGAGGGGGTTTCACCACATTGGTCAGGCTGGTCTTCAACTCCTGACCTCAGGTGATCCGCCCACCTCGGCCTCCCAAAGTGCTGGGATTACAGGCATGAGCCACCGCGCCCGGCCTCTGCTGTCTGTTTTGAAGGGGAGGTTATAGGCGACAACAACTGGGGCCTGGCTGGGTGACTCTGGGGAGTCAGCTCCATAGCAACTACAGTGGTCCCCTCCCCTGCTGGTGCCATCTCCCTCTGCAGAGCATATCCAAGCCTGTGCCTACCCTCACTCTGCACACAAAGGTGCTATGCAGATAAGGTGACCAGGTGAAGTGGCTGGTTGCACAGGAGACACGGGACCAGTGGGATGCTGACTCACATGCTCTGCCCAAAGCAGGCAGTCACATCTCAGTTCCAGTGAACAGTTAGTTGCCATGTGGGGATGACAGCCCAGACTAGCAAGACCTTTGAATGTTTCAAGAGAAGCCAGAAAGCCTCACTTTGAGATATTGGCTCCAACTCTCTAAAAACACTGCAAAAGCTGGCCCTGCCTTCTGCCCTCACTTGGACGACAAGGCAAAGATGAGTCCACCCAATTTACAGAAACAAAAACTGAGGCCAATGCGGAAGCCAATGCTGAATTAGCCAGGGCAATGGAGCCAGAGGAGCTGGGGATCTCAGAAATGACCTGGTTCCAGCAGGGACATGGACCAGGGAGGTGGCCCTGGTGAGCACTCACAGTGAAGCCTGCCCGGGCACTCAGGTGTTCAGCAGCCACCAGCAGGGCGTTGAGGGTGGCTCCTCCGCTGCCCACACGCTTCTCTGGGTCCTCCACGGCCAGTAACAGCGTCCCAGCAGGGATCTGCTCCCGCTTCTGCCGCACTTCCAGTTCTAGGGTCAGAAGAGACACTGGGACCTGACCCCCAGCTCTCTGCCCTGGCCCAAAGCACCTGAGCAAGGCTATTGATCATCAGTGTTTGATCTTCCTTGACTTAGCTTTCCATATAGAAGGCCATTAGATCTTCACCCAACTCAGTGAGAGAAGTCCTACTACTCCCATCTTACAGATGAGAAAACCGAGACACAAGGAATGACATGCCATATATGCTGTCACATGGCTAGGGAGAAGTGCGATCTGGGTTTGAACCCAGGTCGGCCTGGCACCTGGTGTTGGAGGGACATAGCCAGGAAGGGGAGGGAGGTTCTCCATTAGGGGCAAGGTGGGAAGTGGGAGTCCCCTACCTCTCTGAAAGACCTGGACACTGTCCTTGTACTGGCAGGTCAGGATGACGACCGTCCAATCAACTCCCTTTGGCTGCTCCATTCTGGCCAAGCAGAGGGGCTTCCTGAGACGGCAATATGAGTAGATATGACTATTTGTTAAACTGTCATAACTAAAATTAATTATTTTTGTATACAATGTATGATTTTAACATGTGTATAGATTCGTGTTGGTATCACCACTATCTACACTCAGACAAACTTCCTCGTGCAACCTCTCCTCCCCGCCTAACCCGTGACAACCACTGATCTGCTCTCTAAAGCTACAGTTTCATCGACTTAAAAAATGTCGGCCGGGGCCGGGCGCGGTGGCGCACGCCTCTAATCCCAGCACTTTGGGAGGCCGAGGCGGGCAGATCACGAGGTCAGGAGATCGAGACCATCCTGGCTAACACGGTGAAATCCCCATCTCTACTAAAAGTACAAAAAATTAGCCAGGCATGGTGGCAACTGCCCGTAGTCCCGGCTACTCGGGAGGCTGAGGCAAAAGAATGACGTGAATCCAGGAGGCGGGGCTTTCAGTGAGCCAAGATCGCGCCACTGCACTCCATCCAGCCTG